ATAAATTTTTTTAAAAATAATTTTAAGTATACATCTCCATGATAATATGATATATTTAAAGATATTAATTTAAGGTAACTTTAGGATTATATGCACTATTTTAGTCTAATTTTTTGAGACATATCCATTTGTTACTATATATATATATATATATATATTTATAGTCACTTGTTATTGAGTTGTTGAAAAAATAATCAACCCATATTTTTGAAACCGTTCTCATTATCCTAATAATTAATCACTAAATATATATCATGTTTTTGCAAATAGACTTGACCTATATATTCGTAATTGCAAGAATATATTTTTTCTGTATGAATTTCTCCTTGGAATACAAATGTTTGAGCATTTGGTAGTCTATACTTTGTGAGTGGATGGTTGCAATGATACTGTTGTCGAATCTTGTTGGGTAGGTCATCATCAACTTGCTACGTACACTAAAGGCCTACCATTTTTTAAGGAATGCGATCTACAATAATGATATATAATGAAAAAATTATTGTTATACCTTTTAATTTAATATATTTGTCAATACTTATTAGTTCAATAATTCAATTTTATAGTTAAAATTTTTATTATTTTAAATTTAAACTTAAAAATAATAATTTCTTAATAAATATATATAATGTAAAATGTGTTAAATAAGAGAGACACTAATCATTGTCATGTAAAATGCTTCCAACGATTTGGGTTTGTTTATACTTTCCTTATTTCTCTCTTATTTCCTGCTATTATTCCAACAAGTATTAACTATACATGATATATTAAATAAATTTGGGGCATCCAACTATACATGATATATTAAATAAATCTGGGGCATCCAACTGTAAAAGCATGTTATGGGAACTCTTACAAAATTTGATGCATGATATATATATATATATATATGTATATATATTTATGGAAAAAAGAGCTGCTTAAATTTTGCAAAGATTTAAATTTTTAATCTTAATTTTAATTTATAAATACTAATTCACCTAAACTCTTATTGGATGTTACATGGTAATTCATCTCCTTAATCTGGTATTAAATATAGGCAAAACTCTACATTAAACCCCTAAACTTACTTTAAATTCTCGATTAAATTCTTATATTTTTATTAAAGTAACTAAACTCTTAAACTTGATAATTTGGATAATATAATTATTTTTATAGTGAACTTAATGTTTGTTTAGGCTTTATTTGCATAGAGAAGGTCAATACCCATCACATCAATAATGGCATGTTAATACTTTACCTATACAAGCAGATCACAAACGAGCATTAACTTTGCTATAAAAAAATATAGTTAAATTGCTTAGATTACCAAGTTTAGAAGTTTATTTGGTTTAATAAAAGTTTGAGGGTTTAATCAAGAATTTTAGGTAAGTTTGGGGTTTTAACACAGGATTTTGTTGATTTATGTAGTCAATTATCTTTTGTATTTTAGGTGTTCTCGCCCCCAAATTATTTATTTTGTTGTGTTGGTCATGTGGAGGAGCATGTTTTTCAACAGGCTTTCCACCACTGTATTCTCATACCTTTATGAGTAATATATAATTTTTTTTATAACGAATTTAATGTTTATTTAGATCTTATTTGTATGAAGAAGGTCAATACTCGTGATGTCAGTAATGACATGTCAATACTTTGCCTACATAACCAGACCACAAATGAGCATTAAGTTTACTATAAAAAAGAGAGTTAAATTGCCTAAATTACCAAGTTTAGGAGTTTATTTGTTTCAATAAAAGTTTAAGGGCTTAATCAAGAATTTTAGGTAAGTTTGGGGTTTTAACATAGGGTTTTGCCTATTTATGTAGTCAGCAATCCTTTGTATTCTAGGTGTTCCCGCCCTCAAATTGTTTATTTTGTTAATTTGTTGTGTTGGTCATGTGGAGGAGCATCTTTTTCAGCAGGTTTTCCACGGTGTACCATTGTACCTAAGTCAATAAAATTTTAACGCCATTGAGTACTATTGCACCTAAGTCAATAAAATTTTAATTTTTTTAAGTGATTAAGATGTTTTTAAATTAATTTTTGTCATGTATTAAAATAATTTTTTAAAAAAATAATTTTAAGTATGCATCTCCATGATAATATGATATATTTAAAGATATTAATTTAAGGTAACTTTTGGATTATATGCACTATTTTACCTTAATTTTTTGAGATATATCCATTTGTTACTACATACATATATATATATATATATATTTATAGTCACTTGTTATTGAGTTGTTGAAAAAATAATCAACCCATATTTTTGAAAACGTTCTCAATATCCTAATAATTAATCACTGAAATCTTTTATATCATGTTTTTGCAAATAAACTTGACCTATATATTCCTAATTGCAAGAATATATATTTTCTATTTGAATTTCTCTTTGGAACACAAATGTTTGAGTATTTGGACGTCTATACTTTGTGAGTGAATGCTTGCAGTGATACGGTTGTCGAATCTTGCTGGGTAGGTCATCATCAACTTGCTACGTACACTAAAGGCTTACTATTTTTTAAGGAATGCGATCTACGATAGTGATATATAATGGGAAAATTATTGTTATACCTTTTAATTTAATATATTTGTCAATACTTATTAGTTCAATAATTAAATTTTATAGTTAAAAGTTTTATTATTTTAAATTTAAACTTAAAAATAATAATTTTTTAATAAATATATATATTGTAAAATGTGTTGAATGAGAGATACACTAATCATTGTCATGTAA